TTTGGTGTGAGTGTTGTCTTCTTGAAGTATTGCTGTCTCTGATAGATTTACAATGCAAGTTCTTCAGCGATCACTGAACATACTCAGTGAGATCGCTGGAACTGAAAATACAGAAACATAAATACAACGTATAGGTGAAAATGGATTATCATCAAATCACTGAGAGAGATGATCAATAGTGGTATTCTCATATGAAGAGTGTTAGGGGTTTGGTCTCTGACCCGATGCTGACATACTCTTTAAACATTCTTGATAATATGAGATCGAAAACAACAGTATGGAATTGAATTCGACAGTCATTGGCTCTGATACCAATTGGAAGTGCGCATTTATCAAGAATATTAAGAACACAAATAAGAACAAATAAAGTATAAGTAGTCAAAGGTTTTGATATGTTATTGAAGATGAAAGATGCAGTGCAATCTACTTACAATACTACATAATTGAATGAATCATTATTGAAAAGAATAATAAACCTATCTATGTAAAGAATAAAATAAACAATGAAACTAGATCCTATAAACAGTGAAAGATAATCTCTATCGCTAATAAGTAGTTATAGAATCAACATCACCCTCTCGTTCAAGTGAGAATAACTCTAAGATCAATGTCTACAAACTTTGTTTTCAGATTTGACACTTGGGCGCTCTTCGGGACTTCTCTTGAAATAACTCTAAAGATTGTCTCTTCGTACTTTGTACTTGTACGTATAGGAGATCTTCACCCGAACTCTGAAGTCTTCTGGTTCAGAGATCTGAAGATAAGTCTTTCAGACTTTAGACTTAATCGTGTGAGCACTCTTCATTTTCGATCTCTGGAAATCTGTATTTAAGATTTCTGAAGTCTTTTCTGTAGACTTACATCCTTAGCAGAGTTTGAAGCAACTTTATATCTTTCACCATTGTTAGCCCATATTCAAGTCAAAATTCAAGAATAATGACAAGATCAAGAACACAGAATATGAATCAAGTATGTCGGCATGTGTATTGATGTTCTTGAAGTATGCTATGTTCTTGATTACAAGATGTCTCTCACACTAGATTCTGCTTGCTTCAAGTCTAACAACTGGAGCAAAACTCTCTTAATAATCAATTCTCTCTTGTTGACAACAACCTTTGGCTACTAGTCTAGCTTTGTTCCTTACAACAATCCCATTTTCATCCATCTTATTTCTGAACACCCACTTTGTTCCTATCACATATTTTTCTTTTGGATTAGGAATCAATCTCCAGACTTTGTTTCTTTCAAATTGCAACAATTATTCTTGCATTACAAGAACCTAATCTGGATCTTGTAGTGCTTCACTAGGTTTCTTTGGTTCAATGTTGCTCAAAAAGTTTATAAAGAAACATTCATTAGCACTAGCATACATAGTTCTAACTCCACTAATGATATTTCCAATTATTTGACACGAAGGATGATCTCTTACCCATTTTTTGATATTTGGAAGAGGTTGAAATTCATTGAGATTATTTTGAATATCATTCTCATCAATGATAACATGTATATCTGATTGCTCCCCCTCAACAATTTGCATCTCTAAAGCTAACTTTGGAATGCTCTTTTCAGAGTTGGAAACTATCTTTTCAGAATTAGATGATTGATCTTCAGAGATGGGAGTTTCTTGTGAAATTGAGGATTATTATGTCAAATATTATTGTATCCAAGATCATGGAGATTAAAGATTGAAGAGGTCAAAGCTTAAAATTGACATAGTCAATTGTTAAGACATAAATTGTCCTAAGTTTAGAAAGTTCTATAAAGTCCTTGTATTGTATTGCAATATTTGTTGTATTTGGGTTGAGGGCTTATAAGATTATCTTGTAAATGTACTCTATAAATAGGGACACGAGGCTTAGATTAGATGGTTGTTAATCTTTAGTTAATCATTCATTATAATTCACATGAGAGTCATTTGAGAGAGATTTGTGATTATTAGTTTACTTTTCAATAAAGAAAAACCCAATTGAAAAACCAGTAAGTTTACTAATGCTCTGATACCAATTGAAAAACCCAGTAAGTTTACTAATGCTCTGATACCAATTGAAAATCCCAGTAAGTTTACTAATGCTTTGATACTAATTGAAAAACCCAAATTTAGTTAACAATTCAAGAATAGATAAAATAGATTGAGATTGAACAACATTATTGAGGATCCGGCCTGCTTTTTTATTGAAAAATTGTGCATTAAGAAGTTGTACCTTGCAAACTAGTCTCTTGTTTTGAACGAAAGGGAGACAAAGAGAAGAGCTAAGCTGGCCGATATCGGCTTAATACAAGTTGGAGTCAGCCGCCTCTCTTTTAAAGAGCAATAATTCTTAAATCCAGAATATCCTTGCATCAATAACTTGTATCTTACATAGATAAAGTTCTATCTTGTTCTGAACTTAGCAACTTCAGCTCTAAAAAAGTAAAAGCAAATGGAAAAAATCACCATGCGCTTTACTAGCGCGTGGAAAAATCTCTCGGCCATCACCTCATCGCTGTTATCAATTTTGACTTGAAAAGGAAGAACCCGCCAACGGAGCTTTTTCTGTCGATCCCCAAATTTCCGTTGATATAATATTATTCAAATCAAACAGCACGTATTTTCGAATCATTGTATGCTTCTTTAGTCTATCTGTAAAGCAATTATAAGATCTGCCTTGGTTAGCTGTTCACAAGTATTATTGGAACGCAGTTTGTTGCATATTCATATATAGCTTCAGGGAAAACCCCCTAATTTGGGAGGAACAGGAACAAAATTTGAGTTCTAGGGCTTTATATTATCAGATATGGCGCAGAAGCAAGGTGGTGGTGGGGGATTTTTCTCATCGCTTGCTTCAAGTCTGTCCAACTTTAAGAACCAAGTTAACGGGTAAATAACTCTTAAATCCTTTTTTACTTTCTCATAGTTTTTTGCCCACCAACTTGGTCGATTCATGGTGTGTTGATGTTGTTTTGACTTGATTTCAACTTGAAATTTCCTGAATCGTGCACTTGATTGATAAGGTTTTAGCCTTTTAGCTTGGAGATTTCATTTACGAATTGCTTTCGAGTTTGACCCTCTTGCTACTTATCAAACTTTTTGGATTATCAAATACTACGCGTAAAAGTTGCCACTGTCAGTGGTTGACAGGTCTCAAGATTTTGAAACCCGTTAAGATTTATGAATCCATGACCGAGGAAGAGAACTATAGGGTACCAATTTAGAGTTGTTATCGAAGTCCAGATTTGGTGGTACAAGTTGAGTTTGTGTCGAATGAATCCTTCCAGATCCAAAAGGGTCATGATACAATCACTGGAAAATATGATGATTCATCAGTTGCATAATTCAGTTTTTATATTGTCTATGTTTTCTCTAGATACTACTGTATTGCTTTTAGATCTTAAAATGACTCATTAAACATTAAAGAAAGTGTCTGGTTTTTGTGGTAGAGATTAGAGAGTATGGCAGACTCTTCTTGACTATCTCATGATGTAAAACCTATAAAAGCTGGTTACGTGATCCTATTGATTTCTCTGCCCCTGAAACCTGTCACATGTTTTGTATTTTGCTTCTTTTATACCTTATTTGTGAAATAAAACGGGTTACATTCTAGCTGATGAGAGATGGCAAGAGACAACCCTCCTCCACATCCAGACATATGCATGCACCAAAAAGGCCCCACAAAACAAAAATATAAATAGAAGTGTGCACATTTTATGCACTGCCTTACTGTGTGGAATAGAGATGCTTTTATGTATGAAAACAGAGGGCATAGACCTAAGTGTTGAGCAGTGGGGCCTGATTTTCAACTTGGTGAAGTGAAAAAAAATTACCGTGGTCACTTGTGATAACAGATATCAGCATAAGTATCACAATGATTGTCTTCATCATATTATTATGTTAAAACCCAGTATCTTAAAAGGGTCAAGAGCTAACTTTAGCTGATATGCTTTGTGTTCTGTCTTCCTGCATGTATGTTTATATTTCACGCCTTTCATGGTAAAGATCCAGATGGACAGCTGTCTCTGGCTCACCCATCAGCGTGTAAACCAGTCTATGGATTTATTTACCATTCTTTTAAAATAGTCACGTTCTTTCACTCTCTTTGGAGCTACATGTTTTGTAACACTAATCCAAAATATCACTTGACGGAGTTTAGTTGTTAACCTTGATGCTGTTCTCATTAAGTTGGTTTCTAGGCCTATCTCACATGTTTATCAGCTAATGAGTATTGACATTGACCTGGGTAATTAACTGGTGCCTTGTCTTATGTCTTAGGTAAATGCCTGTTATTGATGACTCTTCGTTGTTGCCTGTAATAAACTGTGCATGTACTAAGATAAGACTTGCTATAGCAAATGATGAATTCTTAACCAGAATTTTCCATGTCTGTGTGGATTTCACCTATTTTGCAGCTTGCTTGGTTACGAGGGCCTGGAGGTTATAAACCCTGAAGGAGGGACAGAAGATGCTGAAGTTGAAGCCCAAAGAGGCAGATGGAAGCAAGAGGTATTTTATTTTTTGTTTACATATCCACGATATCATCCCTTGTTACATTTTAGGTACTTAGAAGGTGCTCTTGCCAAGGATTAATTTGTATTTGTTTATGCAAGATCAATTAATATTGTTGTTTGCAGTTTGGGGTAAAATGTTGATATTAATGATGTCAGGTTTGCAGTTTCTGTTCATAAACCACGTAGCTTTACATGAATGGAGAAAACAAAGTTTGATTCTAGTGATATAGTGGAAATCTGTTGCTTTTGTGTTAACTTGTGTTGTACCTGATGAACATTTATTGAAAAATTTGCTGGAATACTTGGTTGATGATATCTTACTGTTGGAGTCCTACATTGGCTGGTAACAGACCAACCAACATGTGTATGTTTAGGGGTTGCTCTCGACAAGTAGAGAGAGGGAGAGAGAGAGAGAGAGAGAGAGAGAGAGAGAGAGAATCAGGGTTTCCACATATTCATGGTATCTGAGCCACCATATAGGGACTCAACACACTTTTTCGCCTCTGTTCTTGAGGACACCATCTAGCCTCCATTCGAGGGGCGTTTTGGAGTCCCACATCGGCTAGACATGGTCCATCTAACTTGTATATGTGTTGGAACGTCCCCCTCTATAAGGCTCTTTTAGAGATAATCAAGAATTCCACATATTCTAACATGGTATCAGAGTTGGCTCCTATCATCACCGCAAGCTCGACACCATATTCTATAAGGCTCTTTTATAGATAATAAAGAATTCCACATATCCTAACATGGTATCAGAGTTGGCTCCTATTATCACCGCAAGCTCGACACCTTATCTAGCCTCTATTTGAGGGGGAGTGTTGGCATAGTTGTTAAAGGCTCAAGGCGCACTTAGGCGCAAATGGGTCCCCGGGACTAGGCGCAGGCATGCGGCGCGAACCTTAGGAATGCGAGGCACATCTTATCAAAAAGGAAAATATATATATATATATATATACACACACACACACATACACAGTTACACAACTAAATACGCAGCAAAGCCTCCAACGCAACAACAAATAGTAATTTGATAGAGGCAAGAGGGAGAAACGTTTAAAGCATGAGCTGTGAGGAAGAAGTTTTAAGGTCTGGATATTTATAGGGAAGGAGGCTTGAAGTTCTAAGGATTGGGTATTTAATATGAGGGTTTGACTTAGGTCATCATCTAATAACTCTGTTTTAAGAAGTCTAGGAGACGAGAAGATGAGAGAACTTAATTAATATTAGGGTTTGACTAGGTATCTAGTAACGCTTTATGCGGCACATCTAGGCCCACACGGCACCTCGGCCAAAGCGCAGCGCCTTAGTGAGCCTCATGATACGTTGAGCCTCAACTTCAAAACAACCCAAGACCTTGAGCCTTATGAGCCTCAAAGCCTAGGCGCGCCTCATGTGTGCTTTTAACAACTATGAGTGTTGGAATCCAACATTGGCTAGTCACTGACCAACCCTCCTGTATATATGCAGAGGTCTCTCCTCTATCTGTAATATCTCTTTTAGAGAAAGAATAAGAGGTTCCACATATTCTAGTAATTACTCCCTTCTTTCATTTAACTTCTTTCTTGCATTGTTTAGTTATCTTATAAAAGAAGCATTCATTGTTCTATATGTTTCATGTGATATTGAAATTTAGAAGGGTTATGGTCCTTCAACATGTCATAGTTGCAGAAAAATGGAAACCTCTGTACCAGGAGGCTCCGACGTGTATAATCTTCTATGTTCTGTTATGTATCTTGTACGTAGCTGATACTAGTTTTCAATGAGTATGTACCCCCTTTCCGAAAGCATGTGTTCAATTAATATCACTAGTTTGGGGAGGTTTGTCATTGTTAATCAACTACAAATTCGAGAAAATTCATTATCTTTGTATGTTGTACCTTGGTCTGATCAACTGCAAATTCTGGAAGATGCATACTTTACTTGTGTCATTCACGCCTGTTATTGTTCTAAGTGATTGATGAATGACACCTGTTACTTGTTATGAGATTCAATTGCACAAGTTCCACCTTGAGTTGACCAACTTGGTGTCCATTATGCGTCTTTTATTTTCCGTGCCTTTCATGAAGCTGCTCACAACATCAGTCCTCCTCCTTTGCAGGATCGTGATGGTCACTGGAAGATGATGCAGAAGTACATAGGTGCTGATATCACATCAATGGTGACGCTACCGGTACTCATTTTTGAGCCAATGACAATGCTGCAGAAAATGGCAGAGGTTTGTCTAACATTACCTATTTGATTTTAGTCACCGACTTTGTACAGGTATTTGAGTCATTTAAAAACAATCATACTTTTCTTCCAGTTGATGGAATATTCCCACCTGCTAGAGCTAGCAGATGAATGTGAGGATCCATACATGCGATTAGTGTATGCAGGTAAGAATCTTACACATGCAAATTGAACATTCACACACACATTCACCCCTATATGAGACCGTTTCTTCAACAATCCAGTTTTCTTTGATGCAGCATGCACACAATTCTCCTTTCCCTATGCACACACATGCACCTAATTATCCATCTATGTCTATACAAGCATGTGTGTGCCATATACATGCACACAAGTATTTAATTTTTGGGTGTCTTGATGTTTTTTGTTACAGCATCATGGTTCATATCACTATATTATGCTTTGCAACGGACCTGGAAGCCTTTCAATCCAATTCTTGGTGAAACCTATGAAATGGTTAATCATCAAGGAATAACATTTATTGCAGAACAGGTGAAATTTTAAAGATCTTATGTGCTGTAAGATGTCTTTTATGTTTTTTGAATATTGTACCTGGTTTTGATTATTATGATTTCTATTCATTCACTGGGATGAGGACATGTGCGATTGAGTAGGGTTGAGGCAAAAGGCAAGTGTGACTGTGTGAGATTGTTCAATATAAAGTGAAACAAGTAGAGCATAATACATTTCTCCTTGCCACTACAGGAAAGAAGACATGTCTCTTTTCTTTTTCATTTTTTTTGGGGGGGGGGGGGGTTGACTAATCTGAATTTCTTTCCGATGCCTGAACAACATCAATAGCCCTTACATCCAAACTTATTTGAAGGGCTAAGATTTTCCCTTCCTGTCTTTCCTTTTCTCCTATCTCTAAAACCCAATGTGACAATGTTCACATTTTACTGTGAATCTTCCACACTTCCTCTTCATCAAAGTTATGTCAAGTATCTTTCCATTCTCTAGTATGTCATTTGTTGAAGTTTCATGATATATTGAGTCGACTCTCTTTTTTATATATATATATATATATATCAGGTTAGTCATCACCCTCCAATGAGTGCTGCACATGCTGAAAATGAGCATTTTGTTTATGATATAACTTCAAAGGTGAAGACCAAGTTTCTCGGAAACTCGGTGGATGTATATCCTCTTGGAAGGTAAAATTCTTGTGTTCAATTGCATCAAACGATGTTTGCCTTTCTTAAGCTTTAAGATTCAACAGATTCTTGTACTGTAGCTCCTCGTTGATTTTTTGTTCTACATTATATTAGAACCCCAAACAACTAGTAGAAATCTCATGTGTCATGAATCCAACCCTTCTGTAATAAGTCATTTCACAACTCAATGACACAAATTAAGAAGATTAGTGAGCCTTAAGTCTCCACCTATTTCCATGTTCACAAGTCTTGCCTTTCACATTCTTGATACTGTTAGACTATAATTCTAATTTATTAATGTATGTGTGTATGTGCTAGACCTTAGTTGTGCACAGTATGGACTTGCACTCCATTTACGACATAATTCCAGCTGATGAACGTGATTGGTCTTTTTCTTTATTTGTGATCCCCTTAAGTTTTAAAGTTAAATAAGTTGATTATACTTTTGTCAGATGTGCTAATTATATAAATTGATTTACATTCATTTTAATCAAATGAAATTCCTTTATTTTTGGAAGATATTTAGAAATCATATCAAATACCATCATTATATTAGTGCTTAATTTCATATGAAATAATCTCTTATTAAAAATATTGACATGTTAGTGCTTATAGTGAAGTTTTTATTAGTGTTATGTGCTTGTGCATGAAGAGAGTAATATATTTGTTTGATGTTAAGCTCCAAGATTTTTTGGATTGCCCTTGATATAACATCAATTATGCTGCTTAATTTTAAGTTTGAACTTCCTTGCTACATTTTTTTGCACATTGCACAATTGCAGTAAGTGGTACGAATGTTGTCAAATCCTCTTAACAACTTATTCCTTCGTGAAAATTAAGTGGTCATTTGTGGGACTCGACTTGATTTGTGCCCATAAATACCAAATGAACCATGAAATGTTTTACTGATTCTTTTTAAAATTTTGAATGCAGAACCCATTTGAAGCTGAAGAAAGATGGTGTAATCCTAGAACTGGTGCCCCCTCCCACAAAAGTTAACAACTTAATATTTGGAAGGACATGGGTTGATTCTCCCGGAGAGATGGTTTTGACCAACTTGACCACAGGAGACAAAGTTGTGCTATATTTTCAGCCCTGCGGTTGGTTTGGGTAGGTGCCCCTGACATCTCTTTCTTGGTGTTTGTGGTGCAATATTGTGTACTCCTTGTTAATCCATGATAACAAAGTTTTGAAAACATGTCTAGCTTCTTTGTGTTCCTTATTTTTGTGTTCATATACATGCTCAAAATGGAATTTTTGTACTTTTGGCTGCATACTTCAGTGGAAGGCTGAGAGCTAATGTGTTTTCCCTATTCAACTTGCTTCATCTCTATCCCCCATCCACATAACTAAAGAACAGAAGGGGCTATGGGTTTTTTAATTATGTGATACTTTTCCATAGAACAGATGATTCATTCAATCAGTCTAGAGGTACTTTAACTGTTTAAAAACTAGCTATAATCTTCATTTGTGGTATTCCATTTTTTACATATGTTAATGAAATTAATAGTCATTAGTCTCTAGTAGTCTTAAATGAATATATCAGAAGATAGTTTCAGGAGGGCTAAAAGTTTTCACGGTACCAGTTAGGGTCTGTTTACCAAATGCTTACTGAGTGTCACTTACCCTACCGGGTGAGCCGGGCCAGGACCGAGAATCTTACCCGGTAAGTGAGGGAGAAGACTCTTACCTGGTTAGTGTTTACCGGGTAAATAGATGCTTACAAACAATCCATTTTGATGGCCGAGAATGTTACTCAATAAGGTTAAGTGAGGGTGGTGACTCTTGCCGCCTGCCAGTAAGCGCTTACCCAATAAGCGTTTGGTGAACGGTCCCGTGAACCCCCCCTTATTGTGAAAACCTTTCAGAGGGGATATCAAGGACTACGAAGGGACAAAAAGGCTTTGAAAGAACTCAACTGAGGTTTCGGTGATGGTTATCAGAATCATGAATTACAAGAAGTCTTAATTTTGCAGTAGTATATGGTTTATTGGTTCACAACTTTCTGTAGGATGCGTTACACCTAATAAGTTATAGGCTTTATTAGTGCTCAAAACTCTAGCCAGTAGATTCTGCTCTTACCTGGAAAGGGGATCCTTGTCATGCATAGATTATAATGTCGTACATGGGAGCGGTTTTGATGCAAAATAGATTTTTAGTGGTGGACATTTTACTAGGTATGGATTTACGAAGTATGGGTGTTTAACACACTATAAGCAGGTGGTGTAACCTAGAAGGAAGTAACCTAAGTGTGTAATGATCAAATAAATGGTCAAGGTGGATATAGAAAGGCTAATATATTGAAAAGAGCATTTAGAGGTTCTAATGGGTTAGTCAAAAAGTAGAGTAAGTCAACGTCACGCTCGGGAGAATTCGATAGTGGATTAAGGAAGCATGACAGGTTTTTATGGAGAAATCGGCTGTTATAAACTCATTCATGGCCATAAGATTGTAGCCAGTGATCACATATCTAGATTGTTAATGTTATCCTTATGGCAAATGCTTGGTGAACGGAAAAAGACTCGGCTGGTCTCTATCTACAAGAATAATAAGGGGTATCTCCGAGTATGACTCTGTCAATTTGGTAGACCGAGGATGGTCTTCCTCTCCTTAACAGATGAATCATCTCTCATTTCCCCCTCTCTTTCTATAGATAAAACATATTTTGCAATCATTCTAATGAAATAGGTCTGCTAAAAGTAATTATGGCTTAGATTCCTACAACCCTTCTACTGCTATAGGTGCAAAGTATTTGATGGAGCAAGCCTATGAGTTGTACAGAAAAATATGGAGCATATATCTTCTACACTGAGAAAACAAATTGCTTTTCATGTTAAAGAGATCAATTATGAACAAGGTTCTAAATGGCGTGGCGTGGCAGGGCAGGGCAGCGAGGCCAAGCCTCAAGCCTTAGGAGCCACGAATGTTTTTAAGGCGTGACTTATGGCCGAAAATCTCTATATTGTATATAACATTATATATATAAACATATGTTTTCTACTATTACTCAATCAATCAATGATATATTGATATTGAACAATTTAAGTTAGGTTATATATTAAAAATTAACAAGCAAGGCATTAAATGTTATGAAAAATCAAATATCGTGTTACAAAAACCGCACATTAAGCCATGGTGAGCAGCAGGCTTGACATGGCGTCAGAGAAAAGTCTTGACCCATAGTGCGCCACGACGGCTGTTGCAACAAGCCTTTTAGAACACTGGTTATGACGATATTTTCTTTGAATAAATGAACCATTTAGAAATGTAGGGGATATAAATAGGAATCATATTTGGTGTTCATTGATCTGGAGAAGGATAATGGTAGGGGTGACAATAGAAATATTGTATCAAGCTTCTGAGAAGAAGGAAGTTTCTACAATGTAGGGCATTGTGGTTAAAGAATATAGATATGTATGACCATGTAGACCTGTTGGAGAAGTTCTGGGACTAGGCAACCCTTCTTACCTATTTTCATGTATAATATAGAGAGAACATAAATCGTATAGATTCTTTTTGCTATTTATGATGAAATAAACAAAGCATTTGAATGCAATTTTAGCGGTGTAAACAAGGAAACAAACATAGTTGTTAAAAGCAGGCGCGCCTAGGCTCTGAGGCTCATAAGGCTCAAGATCTTGGGCTTTTTTAAAGTCCAGGCTAGGCATATTCACGAGCTCACTAATGAGGCGCCTTGTGGGCCTAGGCGCGCCTCATAAAGAGTTACTAAATACCAAGTCAAACCCCAATATCAAATAACTTCTCTCATCTTCTTATCTCTAAGACTTTCTTAAAATAAGAGTTATTAAACCGACGACATAAGTCGAACCCTAATATAAAATACCCAGTTTTTCCTAACTTCAAGCCTCTTTCTCTACAAATACCCGGACCTTGAAACTTTTCCCTCATGGCTCACGCTGTAAACCCTTTTCCCTTCTGCCTCTATCAATATCGAAATACTGCTGGTTGCTGCACTTGAGTAATTGCTACATATTTGAGTTGTGTATAACTGTGTGTGTATATATGTACCTACTCTTTCTATAAGATGTGTCTCACATTCCTGAGGCCCGTGCCTCACGCATAGGCCCCGGGACCCCTTTTTGCGCCTAAGTGCGCCTTGAGCCTTTAACAACTTTGGAAATGAACACTAAGCATATCAGGACAAAAAGTAACAATGAAGAAATATGTTCCATTGCAGATGCTTCAGATGAAATGCTTCTTGTTTTACTGTTTTGCGTATGTAACCATTTACCTGGACATTAATGAGTAACTAATTGCATGAGTGCTATGATGAAATGAACTACATTCAATGTATATAATCAACATGTTCATTCTCTTGTCTGAAATATTTAGCCTAACATATAGATACGTTTGTGTTTGTTTGTAGTGCTGGTCGATATGAAGTGGATGGATATGTATATAATGCTGATGAAGAACCTAAGATATTGATGACGGGCAAATGGAACACATCTATGAGCTATCAGCCTTGTGATTTGGATGGGGAGCCCCTTCCAGGCACCGACCTTAAAGAGGTAGGCATCCTTCACTTTGGCTAGTGACTTCATTTTTGACCCATCCTTATTTTAAAACTTGGAATGGAATTAATATGTCAGATGCCATAAAGGCTCCCAAGCAAAAGGGTTGGGTTTCCAGAGGCATTTAAAATTTTGTGGGAACTGCAGGAACCAATTTGTTAGCGGAGATTCACATAAGTTAACATCCTCAATCCTCACATACGATAACATATGTTAATGTATGTTAGCATATTTTAACATATTTAACTTATGTGAACATCTGATAACATAGTGGTTCTTACGAAAAAAATTCTTACACGATCCTGATTCTCTATGGAAATAACAAAAACTCGTTCTATTCCTGCAAAGAGACGATTCTGATGAGATAGTTTTGTTAAGTAATTGTTTTCCACTAGGAATGGCAGTTTTATTGGATTGACCTCTTGACGGAAAGAAGTTAAATGTGAAATTATTTTGTCCCTGATGGTGTTTTGAAGGTTTGGAGAGTTGCCGAGGCTCCTGCAAATGACAAATTTCAGTATACACATTTTGCGCATAAAGTAAACAGCTTTGATACAGCACCACCGAAATTATTGGCATCAGATTCTCGCTTGCGGTCAGATAGATATGCACTTGAAAAGGGTGACCTGGCTAAAGCTGGTTCAGAAAAGAGCATGTATGCCATTCTCTCTCTCTCTCTCTCTCTCTCTCTCTCGGCTCTCTCACACACACACATATACTCTATGGGTTGGGTCTGGGTGAGAATCTAATTTTCGTGAGAAGGCAAGAAAGGGTGAAGGTACTTTTCTCACATGATCATGATATATATATATATATGGGGCCGGTTTAAATAAGAAGGCTAAATATCGTGAGAAGGCAAGAAGTGAAGGTTCATATGTGACTACATCAAAAAAATTCGGAAAAAACTATTAGAAGATGCATATGTGAACAATGTTGCAGATTATTCATATGGATTTACGTATGCATCTTCAAATGGATTTTTCTAATGATTCACATATGAACCTTTCATTATCCGTTCGTTCTTACCTTCTCACAATATTTAGCCGATTATTTGTACATCCCACTATATATATCACTCATTCACTCTCTTGGGCACCGGTAATTAGAGATCTCTTGATTTCATCGTGGCTTTTCATTTCATGTTTTGTCCTCTAGGTTTTTTCTTTTAGGAATCATTTTGAGATTTGTGGTCAAACAAGTTATTTGTTATATGCCTAGAAAATGACAAGAGATCTAGTTGTATGTGGAGGGAAACCAGCTTACCATCTATAAGCCTCATAAACAAGATTGACAGGAATGAAGTTTTGGGATCATAAAGCAGATACAATTTTGGATAGTGAAAATCCAAACTTGTATCGGTGCTTTTGGTTTGGAGTACTACAACTTGGGGACTGAAGATTCACCCTAGAAACTAAGGGGGCGTTTGGTTTGATGGAATGGTTTTGAGAGATTTGGGGGCCATTTAGTTCGTGGAATTCAAAGGAATTTGATGGAATAGGAATGTCAAATTCCTTTGACCAAATTCCAATTCCTTTCTATGGTTCACTTCTTGAAATGGATGGAATTCTTCAAATTCTATTGAATTCCACAAATCAATGAATTCATCATTCCTTTGGCATAATAGAAGGAATTGAATTCCAACCTTTTGCATCCAATTTAACCAACATTGACCACCCCTACCCCCCTGTCACTGTCACAACCCCCATCCCTAACCCCCCACCACCACATCACTGCTGTTGCCTTCACAACCGCCACCCACCCCCACCCTAACCAACAACCCACCACTAAACACCATGCCGCGCCAACTCCCACCCCCACCGACCACGATGCCGCTACTGTCATCGTCACAGCTACCCTGTCACATGGGTGGTAGGGTGTGGGGAGGCGGGACCGGATGATGGTGGGTGCAAGGCGAGGCTGTGTGTGGGGTGGTTGGGATAGGACTGGGGGCGTAGGCTTGAAATTCCCGATGGTCGAGGTGGTGGGGGATTGGGGACTATGGGTTAGGGTGTCAGGGCGGGCGGGCGGGCGGTGCACCACCAACATCACTACTACCTTACCGTCATCATAGCTGCCACCCCCTCGCCCACTCCCGCCCACAACCCCCACCTCAACCTCCTACCACCAATATCATCATGCCACTAATGGAGATTCTAGTTCTTTTGGGTGATTCCATTTCAATTCCTACCAACCAAATGTGTGAGAAAATTTCTTCGATGGATTCCAAGTCCACCAAATTTCATTCTGCGAACCAAACGCCCCCTTGGATTTCGTGGAAGCATTTGGAATTGGAATCTCTGATGTGTTTGGTTTGTAGGATTTATAATGGAATTGAATTCCATTCTTAATAAATAATTTATAAAAACAAATTATAAATAATTATAAAATAATTTAAATTACCTTTTTTTAATTGATTATTGCAAAACAAATGTTTTTAACATATTTAAAAAATTGTTACCTACAAATGCTACAAAATCCTGTCAAATACCACCCTCATGGGATTTCAAAAATCCTATGTTTGTGGGATTTAAATCTTGGAAATCCTTGAAAAGGAAACATGGGATTGGAATGGAATTCAGTTCCAATTCCAATACTGCAAACTATACGGGACCTTGGAAATATGAGATGAAACTGCAGTAAGACAATCCTTTCTATCTGGAACTTGAACCATATATCCTTGGTGGTGTCTGGCTCAACTTTAACTTGAGCTATGAATGTGAAACTAGCTGATAAGCTAACCGATAAACTATCTATTAACTGATAAAATAGTCATGTTTGGTAAACTAGCTGATAAGCTAGATGACAATGTAAAGTGAACTAAAACGACATATTGAAAAATTTATTGGAACAATATAAGGGACATAATTGGAAAAAGAACTCCTGGAACTTGTTGAAATTTACTTGAAGTAGCTTTTCAAAATGCTAGTTTTTGGCTAATCAAACGGGGTTTGATTCGATACACAGATCTAACACTTTGTACTTGGTTTACTCTAGTCTGGAGGAGAAACAGCGAGCTGAGAAGAGGACTCGGGAGGTAAAGGGTCACAAATTCACTCCAAAATGGTTCGACATGACTGAAGAGGTTGCTCTCACACCTTGGGGCGATTTGGAGATCTACGAATATAACGGGAAATATACTCAACATCGGGATGCTATTGGCAACTCAGACACGAACGAGGAAGCAGATGTCATGAAGACAGAGTTCAACCCTTGGCAATATGGTAATGTTGCTGAAATGGAGTGAGTGATTTTTATGCATGTTGGTTCTTTTATTTGTTGTTGAAAATCATACTTGCATAAAGCTGAAATGCCGAATTTTGGTTACATGGCATTTGGGTTTTGCAACTGTATCCGTTTTTTCTTCTTTCGATTTCGTACAATGTATTGTCGATAGATAATGTTAATATTTAATGGTGTAAGGACATCAACCTAGTTTATTTTATGTAAGGAATGTCAAGTTATATTTATGTATGTTTAACATTTGTTAAGGTTAGTTAAGATATTTTGAGTTTCAGTCGTTTTTAGGCAAGAATATATTTAAGGCATGTGATAAATTTTAAGGTTCATGTCCTCGTACATCTTTGCCAATGAAGTTTCATTTAATTATATCCACCCGTGTGCTTCTCATGGAAGATAACAAGTTCTCACGTGATCCAACTGTTATACATATAAAGGAGGGATCAAATAAAAACATATATGCAGTCGTCCATTTTTTGATCAAACGGCTCTTATGGACAGTATGCAAATAGGGGAAAATTTGGATTTTGTATGATGAAAATTAAACGAAAGGTAATATTAGAGTGATTTATTAAATATTTTGAATTTGAATTTGAATCTAATCAATATAATTAATTACATGATTATCTATTTCATAATTTGTTGGTACTTTCGCCTCATCGTTTCCTCGAGCCGGTCAAATCCGCGATTCTTAAACCCAACGCTCCTGTAGCAATGCAGGAGCATCACATTGGTGAGGCTAGGGGGATTCGTCTTCCTTATAAGGAAGGGAGGATCTTACTCCTACCAGTGACACGTTTTAAAGCTGTGAGGGGTTGTTGTCGGGAGGGGCAGCCCAAAGCGGACAATATCATGTGGGCGGTTCCCTAGTATCGGTCCAACATAATTATCTCACTCCTTCCTCTTCTTTCTATCGTTGAACTAGAAGTCTATCCTCTTCTTTCCGTCATAGAACCACAAGTAATGCCATTGTTAAAGATATCAAGCAACAATATTAACCACCGTTCAAAACCTCCACGCTCGATTGCTCTCTCTTCGAATGCCAGTGCAATCGGATCTCAACACTCTTCTGCATCTCGTCTCCATTTTCATATATGAGATCGCCTATTTAGAAGCGCAACCGAGTGTTTAATACATGAAACCTTTTCATTTAGAGGCGCAACCAATTGTTTCTTCCCACTCTCAATCAATATGTTTCATATTGAAACTTCTTTATTCAGAAGTGCAACCAAATGTTTCATATATGAAACATCTTTATTCAGAAGTGGTGCAACAAAATGTTTCAAATATGGAACATCTTTATTTAGAGGAGCAACCAATGGTTCATATATGAACCAACAATCATATATTTGTACCTTACAAATGAGATTTTTAAGGAAGATTATTAAATCCATTAAATATGGTAACCGAATTAGATATTTAAGAAAGATAATCAAAATGACAAAGGTGCACTTGTTTATAGAGTTTGTTACAATGAGGTAAATTATATCTAGAGAGAGAAAGAGGGGGAGGATCAAATGAGGGCGAAACCAGATTTGACTAGAAACTCAGATAAAACATCATACCAGGCTCGTGGAACTTGTTTTAAACCATAAAGGGCTTTGTCAAGAATGTATACATGATTTGGCTTAGATGCATTGACAAATCCTTTAGGTTGAGATACATACACCTCTTCTTTTAAAATACCATTTAGAAAAGCAGTCTTCACATCCATCTGAAATACTTTGAAAATTTTGTGAGCTGCATAAGCTAAGAAGATACGGATTGCTTCAATTCTAGCAACCGGTGCAAATATCTCATCATAGTCCACTCCTTCCTGTTGATGATAACCTTTTGCAACTAGTCTTGCTTTGTTTCGAACAACACCATCTTCATCTTTCTTGTTCTTGAAAACCCACTTTGTGCCGATTATGGACTTATGGACGAGGTACCAATCACCAAACTTTTAATCTTTTGAATTGATTTAGCTCATCTTGTATAGCTAAGATTCAGTTAGAATCTGCAAGAGCTTCAGAAATTGTTGTTGGTTCTATTTTGCTAATAAATGTAGCAAAAAGACATTCATTCGCTGAAGCATATATTATTCTCACAGAAGCTATAGGATCTCTAATTACTTGATGTAAATGATGATTCTTTGTCCATTTCAGATCATGGGGAAGTGGTTGATACAACGATTGATCATTGCAAGGATCCACATATGTACTTGGGAGAATTATTTTGTAGAGACTCAAGTGATGGTTCTACATTGATGTTCAAAGTAGGAGGATTCACAGTTGAAGACACTTCATGTACAGTTGACTGAACATTTTGTGTATCATCACTTGAATTAACAACAATAACTTCCAACTGAACTGATGTATAACCACTTTATATAGACGTCTCTGCAACTTCATTACTGGGAGTAACTGTGATAGGAGCTGCAATTGATTTGTCAGATTTTATTGGCGAAGAAATGCCCGAATCAGTAACAACTATTGGTTCCTCCATCCTCATAACTTGATCACTGTTAGAAAAGGAATTACTCTTGTGAGTACCAAAATATTCATCATAAAAATTCTCAAACAATAAATCCAAATCAGTGATATGAAAATTTGAAGTAGGAGCATGATCTGAAATTCGTGCAGGTTCTGAACTGATTTGTTCAGAAGCTAATACTCTAGACAAAATTAATTCTAACCAAGTTGTTCGGAAGATATATCCCCCAATTCATCAAATTTAACATTGACGCTCTCATTCACAAATCTCGTTCGTTTGTTGTAAACTCTATAAGCAACAGACTCGTTTGAATAACCAATGAAGACAACTTCATCAACTTGGGGATTAAATTTGCGAATATCATCTTTATCATTTAGCACAAAATACCTACAACCAAAAATAAGAAACTTTTTGATATTAGCTATTCTATTATTGATGATCTCATAAGGAGTTTTACCGAAATGTTTATGATTGATTGATCTATATTGAGTGAACAAGCAGTTGCTACAACTTCAGCCCACAAGAATAATGGTATTTTTGAAAATGCAAGCATTGTATGAGCTGCTTTCACCAGTGTCCTATTTCTTCATTCAACGAAACTATTTTGTTGTGGAGTCCAAGCAGCCGAAAAAGTATGAGAGATACCAACTGACTCAAGAAAAGAATCCAAAGTTCTATTCTTAAATTCAGTACCATTATCCGATCTGATTGACAACAAAGACAGCTGTAAGTTTACTTGTACACTCTTGATGGAAGAAATGATTATCTCTGGAGCTTCATCTTTTGATCTCAAGAAAAATACCCATGTGTATCGAGAATAATCATCTACTATCACAAACACGTACTTTTTACCATTTATGCTTTGAACTCGTGATAACCGGGTTCCGGTTATACATCTAAGGTATTTATTATTTGAGCATGTGATTAATTGTTATAATCCATGATATTGGTATATGCATATATATGTGAAAATGTGCATTATGTATATACATGCATGAGAATGATTATGTGCATATTTTTATATGCATGCATGCATAGGGTGTGTATATATATATATATATATATGTGCATATGTGAAGTATATGCATGCAAAGGTTATATATGTATATATACATGCATAAGTTTATGCATGTGCATGTGGTATGTGAAGGGGGAGGATTTTATTCTTCCAAACAGCCTATTTTAGGCAAGTATAAAAGGGTGGAATTTTAAAGAAGGCAACTCCTGCCATTTTTAGAAAGCTTGAAAAATGAGAGTAGTTTCTTTATGATTTCTTTACCAAGAATAGAAGTTGGGATTGGTATCAAAGAGTTGAAGCAGTTTCTAATTGTTGTTTTTACCTCAAATTTCATTACCTGTGTAAAGGTGAGTTTTATTAAAGTAGTCTTGAATTTGAGCCTATATTGTTGGTTAATTCTGGTTTTTCATTGTTTTTGGTCTGCTGGTGTATGTATATTGTATATGTTCTTATGTATATGCATAGTCCGATGAGGGACTGTAATCGGACATAGTGTTGTCCGATGAGGGTACCTTATCGGTCATGCCTTGACCGATGAGGGAGTTAAGTATTTTATCCATCGCCCAGTGAGGACTTTACCCGATGACGTGTTGTCTGGTGATGACCTTTTTCGGACAAGGGTTGTGCGGATTGGGCCTTTTATTGCCCATTTGACGTATGGATTAAGTGTTTAAGGTTCTAAGTGTTGATTGATAAGACTGTGTCCGGCCCGGTGAGGTTAGTTACCGAACACAATGTTGTTCGATGAGAATGTATCTGAACATAGTATTGCCCAGTGAGTGTTGTCCGATAAGAATGATTTTATTATTATTGTTATTAATGGAAGTGTTGTCAGGATAATGTCGTCCGGATAGTGTTGTCCAGATAGTATTGACTAATGAAAGGTGTTATCGGCCATAATGTTCGCCGATGAGGGGCGGTTATCGCCCAGAGTTTGTTCGATGAAAACTGTTGTTTTCCAAAATACTGATTAACAGTTTCAAAATTGTTTTATGTTGAGAAGGATAATCTGTATCTTTCAAATGTTGATTTAAATTGAGAAAACGTACTGTTGTTTCTTTCAAAACTGTCGAGATGAGAAAATTGTTTTTGAAAGAAATATTGAGATGAGATTGAAAAATGGATTTAAGAACTATGAGAGTTCTTGAGATAAAATTTATAATATTGAACTGTTTTGAGGCCATTATTGGCTAAAACTACAGATTTATCTGTAGATTTAATGAGGAAACAAATTCAGATGGTTTTTTGGTATTCAATATTCAAATAGATTAGAATATAAATATCGGACACCCTAAGAAACTAATGAACCTTGAAATTTATTGATGGGTGGTGAGGTCCCATATTGACTATCATGAAGTCTTTTTTGAAAAAGAACGTCGATGAAGGGTTTTATTGGATAACGGGGAGGAAATCCTTTGATAACACAAATTCCTATATTTGCCCAATTGACACATCTGAAGGAATAAATGTTGGACTTATTGGAAAATTAGGGATTCATTGGGATTCTCAAATTTGGAAAGTGAAATATCAATGAGAGGTGTACCATAGAATAAGGGTGAAATATCAAGGAGAGGTGTACCATGGGATAAGGGTGGCATGTCAAGGAGAGATGTACCATGGGATAAGAATGACATATCAAAGAGAGGTGTACATTTGGATAAGGGTGGCATTTGTGTGTGTGTTACTATTATAGCTCTTGTTGTCACATCTGTAAGATGCGATAATTCTGAATCAACATTTCTTTGTGGCATGAAGACTTGGAAATATTACTCTTACTGAAATG